GGGTAACTGGATCCACCCCCTCCCCTCCCCCCCTGGGTAACTAGATCCCTCCTACCCACCCCCCGGGTACTATATATTTAATGTGACGAAAGCAACTTCGCCACTGGTTCTTGGATGGGAGTAATTGCCAGCCTTTTATCCTGTGACTATGGCCCTTTTAATTTGTTTTGGCTGAGAGACCCTAATTATGGCTATTGGGACTTTAAACAATGGTTCTCCGAACAGTCGAAGTGGCTGCCATTCGACATTCGAACACATGGTGGCGGCCATCTTGTTCGCATGGACCAAAACCGCGACTAGACTTCTGGGGGACTTAGCCACGAATGCCCTGTAACTATTTTCAGCATGAAAACCCCAGGCCCAGATGGGTTGACAAACCATTTTTATAAAACATATGGTAACTTAATATGTGAACATGTCTATAATAAGATAGTTGAGAAAGGATCTGGACCCAAAGAAATGCTTTATGCAAATATAATTCCCATTATTAAAAAAGATAAGGACCCCAAGGAATTGAAAAACTATCGCCCGATATCTTTAATCAATGTAGATTCTAAACTGTTTATGGCCATTTTGGCTGAAAGAATTTAAATCTATTTTGCCTATCCCTATACATGAAGATCAAATCGGTTTCGTTCCTTCCAGACAGGCAAATGCTAAGTCCAGGAGATTGATAGACATATTGGATTGGGGGGATAGAATGGGTACGCCTCTCCTGACCCTGTCATTGGACGCAGAGAAGGCCTTTGACACGGTCGGGTGGAGATATATGTTTAAGGTCCTGGAAGCCATGGGCTTCTGTGGATGGATGGATGAGGGTTGCAATTAAATCTATATATCAAGATCCCAGGGCAAGAGTAGTAGGCGCAGATTTATGTTCCGATTGGTTTGAGCTAAATAATGGCACCCGTCAGGGATGCCCGCTCTCGACAATATTGTATATTATCTCCATGGAACCCTTTGCAGCCAGAATTAGAGCTAACCGGAATATCAAAGGGATTCCTATAGCATCAGGGGATCTAAAGGTGTGTTTGTATGCAGATAATACAATAATTACGTTGACGGATCCCTCTGCCTCTATTCCAAATCTCATGGAGGGGATAATCCGTTATAGTGAAGTGTCGAATTATAAGATGAATATAGATAAATCAATAGTAATGTTTTCAAATTGTGATTCTGGTGTTAAGAGACAAATATTAGAAAAATATAGCTTTAAGGAGGCCAGGGGAAGCTTTGAGTATTTACGAGTTATACTGTCAGACCCTTAAACATCATTGTTGAAAAGAATGTCTTAAAATTGATTAAAGTAACAAATCTGGCACTGAAAAAAAGAACAGTACATTCTTGAGTTAGGCTGGCAGAATAAATATAATAAACACGTATATGCTTCCAAAGTGGACATATTTTTTTTTTTTAAATGGTCCCTCTAAAGGTACCAGATAGTTGGTTAGAATTAATTCAGAGAACGTTTAGGACCTTGCATTAATCTAGTCCAGTTGATGAGGGCCCCTAGGCAAGGCGGTATGAATTTTCCCAATATTAGAAAGCACTATTGTAGCGTTACTCACCTTCTCCAGGGGCCGGCCGCGGTCCTCTCTTCAAGCCGCGCGCGGTCCTGCTGCTGCACGAGCCGCGCGCGGCTCATCCGACGGCTCCACTAGCAAGGCGGGCAGTGACCGCGAGAAGCGGTCACGTGTCCCGCCTGAATCTAAGAGCGCGCCGCGAGTCTCGGGCGCGCTCTTAAAGAGACAGTGGGAGCCTAAATTGTCAAAAGGCTCCCATTGGCCCCTGTCATGCCACACTCCCCATACACTTACCTTTTGGGGGTGTGGATATGACAGGAGCCAATCACATTAGTTTTGAAGCTATTTAAACTTACCTCTCCCTTTACTCCCTGCCCTATCGTGGTTTCTGTATCAGTTCCCTTTAGCGCTTGTTGTGTTCAGTTGTGTTTCTCTGTATTGACCTTGGCTTTGTTTCTGACTACGTTTTCTCTTTATCCTTCTGTTCTGGTTGTCGGCTTGTTGTTTACTGTGTACCAGACCCCGGCTTGTCCTAGTTTACGCTGTCTCTCTGTGCCCTTGATTTCGGATTGTTCCTGACTCTGTCTCCTCTCATATACGTCGAGTCCGGCCATTCTAAGGTCCGGTAGACGTATCTCTCCTCTGTGTTGTCTTTTATTTAGCTGAATCCTGCGTGTTGGGGTATATTCTCGTTACAACTATGAAGCTAGCATGATCCATCAGTTACAAATTATAATGAAAAAAAGAAGCAATAAATACAGGTTGGTACAAACTTGAGACTATATCATTGACTAAGCAGCAATTAAATAAATTGTTATGGCATGAAAAAGGAAATTTAATCCTAAATGAAATACAAAATAAAATAATTTGCCAAATTCTTCCGACTTGGTTTAAACTGAGGAAGCAAATGAATCACAGGGGTAAGATATACGACTTTATGGCCATTGAGATCTTAGAATCCCTTATAGAAAATATAAATCTAGATCAATGGAAAGAAAAGAATATTGGAGAGGTTGGAAGCATTATGGTAGGAGATTCAGTTAAATTATTCCCCATTGTAAGGCTAGAACATGAGCTACCTGTTTCAGAAACATTCAATTATATAAGGGTGAAATCTAAGAATTATGTGGAGGGGAAGAACAGAGGGTCTTTTTGTATCAAACAAATATTTGCTCATAAACTCTAGAAAATTATCAAAATGCTAAATGTTGTCTCGATTAATTCCATATAATATCAATATAAATGCTTTGAATAGAGTGTAATCTGTCCATAGAAGTCGATGCTTGGGGGAAGCTCTACAAAAACTAAAGGAAAATGTTCATAATATGGTTTTGGTTGAAACTTTTTATAAAGTTACCAACAGATGGTATTTAGTACCAACTAGACTAAATAAAATAGATCCTAATATCTCAAATATATGCTGGAGATGTTCGAGTGCAGTTGGGAGTTATTTACATATCTGGTGGAACTGTCCAAAAATAAACCAAATCTGGGATCAAGTTTATCGGACCTTGGTTGAATTAGAAGGGATTAAGATTGATAAAGACCCAGTTACTGCAATTCTTCACTTGGGTTGGCCTGAGTTAACTGCTATACATTTTTATTTAGTTACTCGTGGTTTCTTAGCCTTGAAGATTATTATAGCAAGAGAATGGAAACAATGAAAAGAAATAGAATTTTATCTCTGGGTAAATCAACTAATATTCCAACTTAAAATGGAACTGAGGGTATGCTGAAGAAACAAGTCTTCGGTTAAGAAAATAAAAGAAAACTGCCTTTCTAGAGTTTTGTCCCTTCTAGGATAATGGAGTGATCAGTGCATTTTGGTATAATGAGTTATATCGTATGAGATTATTTACTCTTTCTTTTCTCTCTGCTTGGGCCCTACTTCACAGTCTTGTATTTGTTAGGATGGTTTATATTATGGATGGTTGTATGCAATGTCCATGTAATGTATTGCCTGTTATTGTACTGAAAAACAAATAAAGACTATTTAAAAAAAAAAAGAAAACCTTGTGGTTCCGGGTTGGTCCTCCAGTGGCACATAGCCGCGATTCTATGCAACTGTCTCAGGCATGGGACCATGCCTGCACTTGGGCAAAAATATGACTTCCATAAAATTTTTGAACCCCTTACCTGATCTGGGTTATTTTTGGATATGTTGTTCACCCAGATCAGACCTTTCAGGGAATGTAACATTTATGTTGTGTTTTGGGGTACTTAATAAAAATGTGTTTTTTCTACCTGGGGATAATTAAGTTAATGCATTATCTTCCTTAATTATATCACAGACAGAGGGGAGGGTTTGTGTACTGTATGTGGGAGTGTCATTCATTGTCACATTATTTTTATTGGCTTGTACACTTTGTGTCCCTGTGCCCAACAAGGTCCAACTGGGTGCCACCTTTGTTGGGAAACTTGCATAAAAGGCCAGCTTTGACTTCCATTAAACAGACTTGTTCTACCCTTCATGAAGTCTTGGCTCATGTTTGGGGGATTGGAGAACTACACTCTGGGGATTGCTATAATTACTATTCTCCCCTGAGTATAATCACTAAGCTCTTGTAAGAGCTGTTCCTTTCACGCTCTCTGGACTAGGAGAGGCCTACCCACTAGAAGCTGGATCCTGGTTTTGGGTCCAGGGTGGGTGGAGGATGGCGAGACCCTAACCAGGCTGCGGCAGTTTGTGGGGTTTACGGTGGTTATAGTGTTCCAGTGCAGTGCTGATGGCACTAGGAAGCAACGATTGACGGAGGTACCCGGTCGGGGTGCCAAGCGGTGACAAAATATTTACCTAGACAAGCCACAAGGTGGCAATAACAGCTTAAATAACTTGTAAATTCCATTTACGAAAAGCTGAAACTCAGCTGAATGAGGGGAAATGACAGTGAAAGCCCTTACCCCTAATTGTAAGACGGCTTTGAAAAAGCCAAACCGAAAGTGCCAAACAAGTGAGCAGTGTTGCAAGCACGTTTGGGGGTAGCTAAACCTGCCAAACAAATCTTTTGGCAAAACGAAAGCCAACATGTTGCGAGTTTAAATGTGTAGACTAACCACGCAGAGAACCCAGTGTGTATGCGGGTGGGTGGGGCATGAATGCGGGGGTCTGTGGCCCGATAGCTTGGTGCTAGGGGAACCTGGTGAGTAGGAAAGAGACCAAGTTACTGGTCCCAACGGCGTGCTGAGAGGCACATGTCCATAAAACCCACTGTTGGTGATCAGACCCCGTGGAACCGACAGGTGCCCGGTAGCAGACGCAGGACCTCCGTGCAGGCAATCAGGACCTCTCACTGGCTTAACCCGGAAGTGAAAGACCTACGGCAATGCTGGAACTCCATTGCAGGTAAGAGGAGGAGGTCTGGGTTTAAAAAGGCCGGACAACTCCTCCCACAACTACAGGCTGACACCAATATATATATCTGGGACAGAGGAGAAGCAGGGAGAGTCTGGGGCAGAGGTAGAGCAGAGAAACCCATATAAGTTTAAAATAACAGCAACTATATTGATTACAAACATTTCGCTAATAAAAGGGGTACAATTTATGGAAATGGGCTGTCAAAGGGTACTCAAGTTAAAAAAGGTTGTGAACCACTGACCTAGATGATTGACATAATGGACAGCGGAAACATTGTCCATCCTGAGAATCAAAGAACAGTTGTAAGCTTCATTGGCGAAACTGCTAATCACAAATGTGCCTGCCATCAGTACGAGGTAATTGATGTGCATCGATCGTTCCGACTGTGTCCAGAGACTGCCCATGGAGAGGTAGGAGCAAGTAGCTCCCCAACCTAGGAGGCTGGCATCCGACTCCAGAATAAAAGTGGTTTGGCATCCGAATATGGCTTTCCAATTCCAAGCCGCAATGTTCTGGAGCCACCATTCTAACTCCAGATGAACTTCGTTGGTAAGAATAATTGATCTGTGTGGCAAACCTAGCCACTTAAGTCTGTATTCCTGTGATATTGTTGCCCTAAAGACTGTCTAAATCTGTCATTATTCTAGATTCTGTTTTGTATGCAATAGAGAGCATTTGTATGCTAGCGGCATGAAAGACGCAAGCATTCATATGGTAGTTTCACGAACAGTGAATTTCAACACTGTTCATGAAATGAATAAACTACCGAATGGGAGACCACACAAGGGAAGTCGTGTGTCTCCCATTAACAGTTGCAACTATGTATCTACCGTCAATTAATGCATTGTGCGGGTGGCCGCCGTTTGGATGTCAAACATGTGGCGGCTGCCATCTTTGTTCACGGAAAGCCCAGCGGTGTTTGGTCGTTGAGTGCCTGGAACTAAAATCGGCTACTTGACTTCACGAACACCGCTGGACTTCCAGACCGTTCGGACAAATTATTATTTTGGTAAATTAACGTACATAGTCCATTGTCATATTGCAATACATGTTCGTGTAAAACTCTCATTCGAATGGCTTTGCTTTTCTAGTGCAGGGATCTGAGCGGTATTTCACCAGATGGTGCGCTCAGATCCCAGCTATTTAATGAGAGGTCATTTGGCTAATTCAACCTATTATTACAGTATACCAGTTATGGAATTTAATGTGAAATTGTATGTTTTGCTGTACGGAGAGATAATGTGATTAACAGTACATTCTTGCACAATTATCTCTCCAGTACAGCAGGGCATGATGGGAAATAGTCTTGCAGGCTAAGGTCCCCACACAGTCCCTTGCAGTAAAACCCCTGCAATGTCATTCAGGAAACCCCTTGCATGGGGACTTGCATAAATACTGTGACCGTGGAATAAAAGCTCAGTTGACTCCCAAACTACGTGTCGTCTAGTTCTTGGGAAAGAGGGATTACTACTACGCTACTTGTGATTTATATGCTGATTCCTGACTACCAGCGGAGATACCGTGGATTAATCTACTACTCCGCTACAATCTGGATCTGTGAATATAATACGTCTTGAGATGTTGCAACGCCCTGTAGTGTAGAGGGCCTGGGAAAATTGCCTGAATGAAGGCTCAAAAAAAGAAAGAAAATATTCCAGAGAGAATATCTCTTCAATAATTGGTAGGAAGTCCCTCTATCCACCAGAAAAGTATATATAAATTGAATTAAAATGTAACTTTTATTATTCATAGGAGTAAAATATAGACCAAAAGGAAAATAAAAAATAATAAAAATGATCAGTAAACAGGTATCCAGGCAAATCCACTAGTGGTACCATGTGAGTATATAAATTGCCTACTAATTCATGGAGCAATGTAATCTCAACTCATGGATACAAAGTCTCCACTCAAAGGAACAAAATGATGTTGGAGTAACAAGTTAATACTATTAAGTCACTCTTCAGGCAAAATAATACAAAGTATCCTTATAGTCTAAACAATTGTCCGTTAGCCTCCAGGCCGTGTTATTTAGAACTCAAATCTGCCAATTTTGCATCTATTTTATATAAGACAGCCTTTCGTCTTTCAGTGGATATGGCCACATTAGCATTGCCAAGTAAACACAGGGCCATTTGTGCCCATTCATGTACCAAATGTGGGTCCAAGGTACCTTCTGTGATAGATTCATCACCTAATATGAAAATTTGAATAATGGGACCAGCAATGTTTGTCCTGAACCGCCTTTAGACCCTGTTCAAGACCTTTGTGGGGGTCTTTACTCGACTTGCCAAAGAACATAATCAGGAAAGGATCAAATTGAGGCGTAAGAGCCACCTTATCTGGTATAGTTTGATGAGGACATTCTGCCCTCAACTTGTTCCGAATCTCTTTTTCAAGTGGTTTGTGGAGCCACATTCTGCAGAATTAAGCTATATGGTCCTGTGGTGCCCACTCACTCAAGTGGTGATGCTTGAAAATCCCCAAGAACTAGCTTCAAACACCTTATTGGTATATAATAAGGTGTCTGAAGATTTATTCTTGGTTTGGGGAGGATTAACTGGGTTAGAAGCTTGGGAAACGAGACGCTGGTTAACAAAGGACTCCTTGACATAAGGAGTATTGTGTTGAGCAAGCGGAGAAGTTCATTATCAGAGTACCCTGCACAGTACTCATTTACAACTTGTAGGTCATAGTTCGATGTCGAACCTTCCATTGGGTCGATTATTTGATGGCTCGTGGAGGTATGAGCTAACCTATGGGTTTTAGCCAGTACCTTTACCGGCTGAAGCCCTGTTGCCCTTCCAGGGATGCTTGCCCCTTCATGGTCAGACTCATTATGAGAATCCTCCGAATCATAGAGATTTTGAGTGACATGGTTTGGGAACAGGATTAGACTGTATAGCTTTGGGCATAGACTCTGCTATTGCAGAGAAAAGCCAAGATTTGAGCTCAGCAGAAACAGTAAAGTCTGATTGGTCAGACATGTTAGCAATGCTATGGGAAATGTCAACAGCAAAGTAAAAAACTACCAAGATATTAGATAATATAATCAATAAGCAAAATGGTAGCTTAATTTAATAATAAAATTGATTAAAATAATACTAAATAATTGAAAACAAAGGAGAAAAAGGGGGCCACCCTTTGATAATAATTGGGGGTCACCCAAGTGGCGTATATGGGGGTTGCCCAATGTTGCAATAATAAGTGGGGGTCACCCACAGTATATATTGTAAGACAAGACGTGGCAAGTAGCTATCAAGCGGAAATAAAATACCGCTATAGCAAAAACAAGGGTCACCTGTTATAATAAAGTGGGTCACTCTTTAGCAGATATTGCTTGGATTATTTGAGTAAGTCACTGTGGCGAAAGTGACCTAGCCACTGGTTTTTGGAGGAGCCTGTTTGCCAGCCTCCTACCTGTCAGTATATTTATATCGCCAGACATTTTGTGCTAAGACAGAAATTGAAAGTGTATATTGCCAGTGACATTTAGAACATAGGTGACTCCATTTTTTTATTTACAGGCTAAGTAAGACACATAATTCTTGCCTTCTGTAACTCCAGCCTGTGCTAAGGAATGCGTTATGTAAACACACCAAGAAGGGGGATGGATTACTAAGTCCAAAGACAAGTATATACATCAATATATATATACATTTATACGTTATATACTTACTCTACTATTATATTAATTGCATATAATCAGTATTATGTTAATAATATAGACTATTCATTGATAAATATCAATGAAGAAATATCATATTATTTAATAAATGTTAGTGGAATAGAAAATTAATGTCTCACAGCTTCACAAGAAAGCCAGATACCAGTGATAGATAACACATAGTAATTAATTCTATTTTCTAAATCTTCCAATGTCCCATTGTAAGCAAGGGGTGAAATTAAGGTTAGGAGGTGTCAAATTTAAAAATACGATCAAAGTCGCCACCACAAAGTCTGGGTAAGAGTGTAAACCAACGCTTTGAACTGGCAGCAAATTTGAGTTATACTACTCATTATAGATAAGCCAAATTAAGTCAGAATCATCATCAAAATGAGTTAACTCTTTCCGGGACAAGACATTTTGGTGATGTAATTGCGCAACCTACTGACCAAAACGTAGATCATGCTGGATAAGGTAGACACACCTTCAGCTCCCTATTGGCCTTATCAGATAATGACATACAGAAAGTTTGGCCCTTTAAAAGTACGAACAAAGGGAAGAGAGGGGGATTTAAGAGAAATTCAATACATTCAGACAGAAATCCAGGACAGAGATTGAGGATACACACTCTGGGACTTACACTCTCTCAAACTCTCTTTGACTCAACTTTCCAAACCAACACGACTTTCTCTATTACATGCACCCCCCCCACACAATCATCAATCATACTCGCATTCAAATTCCTGGGACTATCTAATCATCTGATGAGAACATCTATATAACTGGTAATTATGCTGGTTTTATTTAATTAATTTAAATTAATAAAAAATTTACTAATAGCAGGAATAGACCTGGATAAATCCCAGTCAGATTTCAATATTTACTTAACTCAAGAATATATAGTTATAAAAATTCCATTCTGCAGGTGGAATAAACAATAACAATATATTAATGGTAATATTTACCAACAAGTTAGCATACCGCTGTTTTTATCCAGATGTATTAATTTGCTCTGAAATAAGATAGTGCATTTTATGTAGGGAAATTAAAATTCGGCTAATATAAAATCTGGTAGATTAAGCTTATTGTATGGTTCCAGGAAATGATTAATGATCTGGTTCGAAAATTGCATTAATTAAAAATCGCAATAGAATAGGAAATTGTATGCTTAGGAGGATTCTAGCCAGCATTGAAAGAGTTAATCGGTGTGGTCTAACTGTCAGCCAAAGATTTTATGGCTTCTCGCTGCACTGTTGTATTCTGTGGAATTTGGTGTTCTGTATGCTGTGAGCTTTCTGTGAGATTGTCTATGTATCATAAATTTTGTTACCTCTTGACAGTTGGTGCTAATGGCTGCTGAATTGTGTTTTAAACATTGCCATATTGTATGCTATGTTATACTAAATATTCACTGATTATTATCACGCATGTTACATATTGTTATTTTTATTATTGTCACAATAAATTATATTTTTATAAAGAAATTGTGGCTTTACTGTGTGGAATATAATCCTCTGATGATCGGCTTCTAGGATCTAAGAGAATTAAATAGTGAGAAATTCTCAGCTTTATTATATTATTAAATTCGGGGACAGTGCCATTATACCCTGTGACTATATCCCCTGCAATAGAACTTCCTATTTCAAACAGGCTCTGTTCATGCAATTGGGACCCCAACCAAGCTGCGGCGGTTACATAGTTACATAGCTGAAAAGAGACTTGCATTCATCAAGTTCAGCCTTCCTCACATTTGTTTTTTGCTGTTGATCCAAAAGAAGGGGAAAAAACCCAGTTTCAAGCGCTTCCAATTTTGCAACAAGCACGTGTCAGCTGACCGGAGTTCGCCCCAAACCGTTCGCGGCAAGTTCGCGGACGGTTCGCGACATCACTAGTAATAATGTGTGCTCAGATCTAAGCTATCTGGGGATATGTTGAATGTACCTGTTTTATGCAATGGCTGCACAGTTATATATTTTTATGTATTTTATTGTATTTTGCTACCATGTGGCTAATGGAGTTTTGCCTCTGTCCTTGGAGATAATTGGATTACTTCCCAATTATCTCCAAGATAGAAGACTCTGTGGAACTGGTTTTGGGCAGAAAAACCATGCTTCATTTGGTCACAAAGGATGTCGATCTAACTTTTGACCCACTGGACCAATTTGTATGATTTTACATATGTTGGTATTTGGAGTATGCTGATTCTGAAAATTTTACTTTTATGTGAATGTGATGCATACTTTTCAAGTTATGAATATTGTGTATAACTGTATTTTCCTGCCTGTGATAATTATATTAACCCATTGTGTAAAGTAATTGTATCACAGGCAGAGGGGAGGATTTTGTGTGGAAGTGTCTGAGTGTATTGTACATGTTTATTGGTTGTTTTACAAAACCCTGTGGGTGGTACTAATGTGTAAGAATGTGTACATAAGAACAATAAACCCACAGCTCTGTGAGTTCTTCTTCACCCTCAATCTAGAGTCTTGTCTCTTATTAGGGGGAATTGCTATATCACTACAAGGGATTGTTATGCTCTGCATGCTCCCTTGGATAATCACTTCTAAGCTCTTTTAAGAGCTTGTTCCTGTCTTGCTCTCTGAATGGGTCTACGGTGGTTATGGTGTCGGCTGGAGTGCTTGGAGCCCTCAGGAAGCGCTAGGAGCATCCTTCAACGGAGGTACCCAGTCGGGGTGCCAGGTGATCCGTTACAAACCATATATAAGAAAAAGA